GGTTTTATGATATGTAGTTTTTGTTTTGTGTTTTCCATATGGACATATGTTTTTTATGCATTACCTTCTTATGTTATATTTTGCATTGTCTTTTCAAGTAAATATTATGCGTTATATTTTATGTCTTATATATCAATTTATGCTGTTTAGTTGCCATAATGGCCCAACACTCACAGCCTCTTGATGTCAATGTAGAGGCACAGAAGGAGGCAGCCTCCCATTCTAGTGTCGGTAAGACATTAAAGTTATTTATATTAATGAGCTTTTTGTTGAGGATTGAGTGAACTTAGCTCTAAATTCTCTAGAGTGTTTTCCTTTTATCTTCTTGTGGGTTGATGGGTTTTTCCTTATGTCATTGAACTATGCTAGCAATGTTATATGTTATTAATTTTACTATTTATATGAATCATCATATGATATAATATCATATCATGTACCATATAAAAAAACAAATATATAAAGGGTTGGGAATGCTCTGTTTTTTGTGGTTCAAAAGAAAGGGAATTATCTTATTATTGTGTAGCTATTTGCTTTGTTCTTTTTTGCATTTATTAATGAAATTTGAACATTGAGAGCATTAAACTATTAGATATTGCTCTGGCATAGCCATAAGTTAGAACTGCTCTCCAATAGCTCTATTCATTTTATTTATCATTTTATTTGTTTAAATGTAAGATAATAACCATTACATTTATGGCATATTTGTTTAGATGGACGAGTCAAAGAGAACTACAATATAATAAACTGTTAGTTCTAGAATGAAGCAATTAACCCATCAGAGAGGTTACACAGATCAAATAGAAGATGCAAATGCTGTCATATTTACTTTTGGGTCATATCGCTTGGGGGTAAGTACAGGCTTGCCGTACATTTTTTTGGTTTTCTGATTCCTTAAATTTACTTTTTCTTGCTTCTTATGGATTGCATCACTTTTGCGTTGATACCAAATTTATGTAACCAGGATCACATGAGACTATTATTGAACACTTGGTTAGTGAACAAAGCTTGTCAATTTGTTTTTTTCTTTTTTCTTTTTTCTTTTTTTCTTTTAAATGTATGGAGAGAAGAGTTGAAGGATAAAAATAGACAGATACAATAATACAATATAGGAATAAGAGATTAGGGACAACATGGAGATAGATATATCAATAAGAGATGAAGAAATAGAGGAGAAGGAAATAGAGTGAGGAGAAATATATGGAGTACTGAGGTAGATAAGAGATGAAAGAGCGAATGGACATATATCAGGGAAGAGAAAGAGATGATGAGTGAAGAAGAAGAAGATAAGTTCTTCCATGTTCAACTTCTAGTCATTCTCCAAGGCCTATTCTCATTTTTTCTTAAGAGGTCATGTTATAGGCCTTATGAAACCCTATAATAAATAATTGTCATATAAAACAACCTTCTCAATAGTAACAGCTCTTGAATCATAAAAACAGTTAAAATTAAATCATGGTAACATAATTAGAGGAAAAACTCATAATAGAATTACAATGTGTTAATGTGAATCTTGCATCTATCATTCCGCCTTATAGGAAGATTTGAAATTGTATATGAGGAATTTAGCTTTGATATTTGGATTTTCAAGATGCTATAGAGAGCAAAATATCATATGTTCAACTTCCATTTTTTGGTTGAGAGAGGATTCCTCCTCTATGTTGTCTTTTGTGTGGTTTTTAAGAGGTTTGTACATGCATGTATAGCTTCCAAGCTTTGGCCTTTTGAGTGTATAAGATTTGCCCCCTTCAAGGAGTTTTTGATAATGTACTTTTTAACTTATAAAAAATTAAAAAAATAGTTTTTAGTCACGAGTTAGTAGCCCAGGATGAAAACTGAATGAAGGGGATGATTCTGGCTTTTAGTGGTTGAGAAGAGTTATTACTAGGCTAGACTTGTCAAAGGGCTAAATGATATGTTGAATAGGAACTCAAATTTTGTGCACTGGAAACACCTTTGGAATTCCAAGATGCTTTATAGAACAATAAGTCATATTATTTACGATGTGTTTGATTTGGCTTCACAGGCTAGTCTGCAGCAAGTCTATACTAAAAAACAATACTAGAATTTATTGACTTCTGTTGTTTATCAGAACTTAAGAACTATGGCAATTTTCATTTTTATTTATTTGTTTTAAAATGCCCTTTATGCTTAGTGAGTGAATTCAGATCATGTGGGGATTCAGCAACAAATTTTTATGTTGACAGGTATATGAGCCTGGGGCTGACATGGATACCTTTTGTTTTGTTTTATGATATGTAGTTTTTGTTTTGTGTTTTCCATATGGACATATGTTTTTTATGCATTACCTTCTTATGTTATATTTTGCATTGTCTTTTCAAGTAAATATTATGCGTTATATTTTATGTCTTATATATCAGTTTATGCTGTTTAGTTGCCATAATGGCCCAACACTCACAGCCTCTTGATGTCAATGTAGAGGCACAGAAGGAGGCAGCCTCTCATTCTAGTGTCGGTAAGACATTAAAGTTATTTATATTAATGAGCTTTTTGTTGAGGATTGAGTGAACTTAGCTCTAAATTCTCTAGAGTGTTTTCCTTTTATCTTCTTGTGGGTTGATGGGTTTTTCCTTATTTATTGCTTTGGTTTTTGTTGAGGGTTGAGTGACAATAGACCTATATTTTTGCTTTGGTTTTATCTTATCTGGAAACAAAGAGGGAAAAAAGGCACACCCACATATACATTGATAAAATATCATCCCTAGGTGTATATATATTCTGTCACTGTAGTTGTTTTTGTGCGGGTTCAAAAGCACTTTTACATTATTGGAGGGTCAACCCCATTTTGTTCCTTGTGACAAGTAAGTGAAAAATTAATAATGGACTTGTTGGGGATGTCTTTTCTTGTGATACTTTTTGGCGGGCAAATATGATATGAGTGGTACATTTGAGGCTTTTCTTTTGGCCCCATCTATTGTTGGATTAGAATTTTTGTCGAAAAAATGTGAATAAAAAGTTTTAAATAAAGGTTAAGTTTATGTAAATATTGTACAAAATATAATATCCAAACAGGTTTATATCCAAACAGGTTTGGAAAGAGAACTATTGCTGGGAGAGTTGTTAAGGAAAGCTATGGTGCTGCCAAACAACAACATACATTTACAGCAAGTTTGGGACATGTGTAGTGATGACTCGCTCAATTACTCAAGCCTCTCTTTTGCTAATGAAATCAATAATTTAGTGTTTTTTTTCCTTTTCAATTTCCTTGAGTTAAACATTGTCATAGTTCATCCCTTATAAGTTTTTTTGCACAAAAATTCAGGATCTCCCTCTGTTTTGTCTTTATTAGAAGTTATTGTTCTGCCCCTGTTTCTGTGGGTCACCTATTATTTCCCGACTAGTGACAAATGGTAGATGTCTCCAATTGAGGTTAAAGGATTAACACAAGTTGTGTAAGAAGGCAACTATTGATCATAAATCTAGAGACACTTTCTAAGTAGAGCAACCATATTTTTATGTGGATTTGCAAATGAACATTCCTTTGTGTGGTTTATTTTAGGATGATTCTCTTTGTAATTTATTTAGTTTAGTTTGTCTATTTGCTTTTGTTTCTCTTGGGTAGCTCTAGTTTTTTTAGTTTGGTGTTGTAAGGATCAATATTTGACATGCAAGGTGAATCGACGGATGTTAACAAAGCGGTGGCCACAAAATGTAGATGGAGCTTATACCTACAGACTATGAAAAAAATACCCGAATCTTAACAGTGGTAAGGGAGAGGAGTATGCTAAAAGCCACCCACCGCCTGAATGTGACCTCGAGAAATGGATAACGAAGATGAATGAGTCGAGTAAGGAGCATTTGGGGATGACATCAAGCATCATGGAGTTGCTTAAGAAACAAAGTTTCAATGGACAATTTAGAGGAGTAGGCATCCCATGAACTTGTAGATTGCCTTTTGGGTAAGTCTATCTTGTTTTATCTTTTCATTTTTCTCATGTTGGTTAGTATATATTGGTTAAAGCACAACAGTTTAAGAAAGTTACCAACCTCTTATATCCATTTATAGTTGTAGTCATGTCAAATGCTGTAGATCCAATTGGAATCAACAGTGACAAGCTAATGTGTGAACCTATAACATCATCTGATCCAAGATTTTTAGTATCAAAATTGCAATATTGCCACATTGAACATTGCTTCTTTTTTTTTGTGTATGTGGAAGATGGATAATATCTTTTGTAGCTTTATACTATTTTTGCATAAGAGTATCCTTATTGTATGATTTTTAACCCTCAGGATAAAAGATGGAAATGCTGAAACACTCTATCCTAGATCATCCTTTGCCATCAATTGTACTGGTAAAGGTTTATTTACGTACATTTCTTTTGAGTGCACTATTTTGTTCACTTCAAGGTGGTTTTGAAAATTTAAAGCTTCTTTGATTCTCTTTTCAGGTGATGTCTGCAAAGGAGATGTTGTTTTGTTTACACAGAAAGTATACAAGAAGTAACTCACTAGTTTCAGCTCTTGTTTTCCTTCTGTATATGAATCTCTTGATTTCCATCGTAGTTTGTAAATCATTTGCTCGGTAAATGAAGGAGCTAATTCTGAACAGGTTTATATCCAAACAGGTTTGGAAAGAGAACTATTGCTGGGAGAGTTGTTAAGGAAAGCTATGGTGTTGCCAAACAACAACATACATTTACAGTAAGTTTGGGACATGTGTAGTGATGACTCGCTCAATTACTCAAGCCTCTCTTTTGCTAATGAAATCAATAATCTAGTGTTTTTTTCCTTCTCAATTTCCTTGAGTCAAACATTGTCATAGTTCATCCCTTATAAGTTTTTTTGCACAAAAATTCAGGATCTCCCTCTGTTTTGTCTTTATTAGAAGTTATTGTTCTGCCCCTGTTTCTGTGGGTAACCTATTATTTCCTAACTAGTGACAAATGGTAGATGTCTCCAATTGAGGTTAGAGGATTAACACAAGTTGTGTAAGAAGGCAACTATTGATCATAAATCTAGAGACACTTTCTAAGTAGAGCAACCATATTTTTATGTGGATTCAATGTACCCCCAGTACTATCACACTACAAATCTACCACTGTTCTAGATGCCAGATTTTTAGTAAGAAGGCAACTATTGATCATAAATCTAGAGACACTTTCTAAGTAGAGCAACCATATTTTTATGTGTATTCAATGTACCCCTAGTACTGTCACTACAAATCTACTACTGTTCTAGATGCCAGATTTTTACCATCTACCTTATCTTTTCTACTTTCACATAGGGATTAACCTGATGAAATGATGTCTTGACCGAACATATTCTATGTAACAGCATGAGGTGACATTGGATGAAATTTCAACATTATGCTGTTTGAAAGATGGATACCCTTGTTATGGTTATAATATTGTTATCTTCACTCTATTTATCCTTGTTTCTATGATCGGTAAAATACATCCTTTTCAGACTTTGATTATGATATATGTATTACTATTGTTCAGTGAACTGACTGAAATGTTAAAAGTATTTGCATCCAAATATTCAGGTTTTATTTCAAATGCACTAAGTACTCTGCTGACGAAAAGGTAAGGTCATTTATGCTAGTTCATTAGTTCAACCTTTTGGGTGTAAATGCATTTTGTGTAGGCCTTGAACACTGAAGCCCAATTGCCATTTTGGTCACTTTTGTGATGTACTAGATTTATGTAAATGGTAGTAGCAGTGTCTATTGTGGGATTGAATTTATGTTTAGCTGGGAATACTATTTTATACCTGCAGAACTGCCTGAAGTAAGCATGTAGTTTGACCTTTTTTTTTGGGTGGGCTGCATTCAAGTAATCGTCTACTCACTTTTCAACATAATAGGTTTTGATTCAGGTTGCCTCCTTAACTCATTGAACTGAAAATTAACACAAATAATAAGTTCTAGATATATATATATATATATTAAAGTCTTTGAATGTCTATTTTTCTTCTTTTGAGATAAGTTATTTAAATGGCTGGTTTGGCATGCCTACCTAAAATCTGTTCAGTGTTAAGGCTAGGCACTGGCTGTATTGATCTGACGAGAATTTGATAGGGCTCAAATTCAAAAGCAAACTATAATTTTGCTGGAATTTGAGCTTCAGTATTTCTATACTTTAAACTGTTGGACCAATTGATGTCATAACAAATCATCCAGAGGTATAGCTATTTGATCACATCATAGCTGCAGTGTGAGTTTGTCAAGGCAGCATAGGAGCTCAAAACATGTGAATTTGGATACTATTTTAACCATCCTGCCCCCACTGAAGGGCAAGGTTACATGGTCTAAGACTATTAAAACATAGCAAGATAATTGTTAATTCTTGACATTGGTATACTTCCAAAGTTGGTTTCACAAATGGGCCTAAGTTGTATTTGAGGTGCATGGTGCAGAATCTAAGATATGATATCGTTGATGAGATCCGTATGAGCTACTTTTTCTGCCTAAAAAAATATGATTTCAACAAATAATGTCTTGGTCCAACAGAAAATTGGGTTCATATAAGAGTTAAGATATTCTAATTGAATGAATTGATAATTACAAGTCTCCTACTTCAATTTTTGCGAATTGCTTTTATATGTTGTATGTGATGGATTTCATTGACATGCACAGAGAGAAGTGCTGGATAGCGAGGACCTGTTATTGTTTGTCACTTACATGGACAGACTTTAATTGTGGAGAATTTGCTATTTCAATAGAGTATTTTGTCATGGTTGAAAAAAGCTATGTCTCTTAACTGTTATCTCCATTTTTTTTGTTTGCCTCAGGTATGCATTAGATGATATTGGTTCTGGATCTCATGTGCATCTCAGTTTGTGTCAGAGTTGAACCCATATGAATAGGTAGTTTGGTACTAACAGAGAAGTATGCATTTTTACCAGTTCTGTTAAAATATCTTGTCTACATAGAATTATTTTTTAAGCATGCAGTTATATTTGGAAATTTGATGGGTGTACTATTGATCTTGAGGAAAACCTTTCACGGTGATGTTTCCATCGATGGGTGTACAAATTGGTTTCTGCTTTTAAGACCAATAAGCTTTATTGATCCTTATTTGTTTTATAGTTTTTAGTGAGTTATATGTTGATATCATATGATTTTGATTGTCCATATAATACTCCATTTTATCATTTATGTGATCCTTTCTGCATTGTTGCATATTGTCTTCTTTTGTGGTGCTGTTTTACTGATATTTGTGTGGAGAATCAAAATAATTATGTCATTTTTGGTGGCTGTGGGGAAAGGATTGGGGGCAGTTTAACAACGGGATAAATTACATTATTTTTGGTGTGATCTAAATGTAAGTTTATAAATTAATTAGTAAGTTTATTCATATGCTTCTGGCGGTTTTAAATTAATTTGTTTTTTTATTTTTCAGGTCAGCAATTTCTTGGAGAGATGCAAAATATGGTCAAAGAATTCAAGAACTTACTTTTTTCAAGTTTTTTATTTTTTAATGTATGTAATCACAGTTAATTTTTTTTTATTAATTTCTTTGTATATACTTTTAAACATTTAACTTTCATTTATGAAATATATGATATTATTTCATTCAATATATGGTTGTGATTCAAAATATAATATATAGTGTGTATTATATTATTCAAATGCGCGTGCAAAAATAATATTGATTATTCTTTAAATATGTCAAAAAATTTTTTTATCACAGGTTTTATTAGTTATTAATCATACTTAAAAGGTGTGATCTAAATGTTTTTAATCACACTTAAAAGGTGTGATCTAAAGTTTTTAATCACACTTAAAAGGTGTGATCTAAATGTTTTTAACCACACTTAAAAGGTGTAATCTAAATACTTTTAATCACACTTAAAAGGTGTGATCTAAATGTTTTTAACCACACTTAAAAGGTGTGATCTAAATGTTTTTAATCACACTTAAAAGATGTGATCTAAAAGTTTTTAATCACACTTAAAAGGTGTGATCTAAATATTATTAATCACACTTAAAAGTGTGATGAAAACATTTTTTAATGACACTTAAAAAGTGTGATTAAAAATGACCATTTTTAATCACACTCCTAAAGACCACACTTTAATAAAACTTAAAAAGTGTGATTAAAAAACATACATCACACCAAAAAAGTGTGATCTTTATCTATATTTGTAGTAGTGGTTCAATGAGAACATGAAGCCAGGGCCGACATCGGAAAGGAATTTTGGGTTGTTTATGGAGGATGGGACGCTAGCGTATTCACTCGGACTCGACGGAGGTCCAACTACGAGTTTAAGAAACGCCGACTCAGTTTGAGTCCACCGCTTCGTTGTCTCTTTTCATTACATTTTGCATGTTGTAATTGGTTCAGTTTTAGTTTTTGGCCGGTCAATGTACATAATGAGAGTGATGCACTATTTGGCCAGTGATGTGTTAATGCTTTTGAATCCGTTGTTGGAAACAGAAAAACCAATCGGCATGTTAGTGTTTCGTACAAAGGTGATGTGTCATTTAAATAATGGTTACGACCCAAACTGTTTGGAACTTAAAAGTTGGGTGATTCGTTGGTGGACTTCGACAGAGAGTTGGGATCGAAAATTTAGGATTTCTTGGTGGAAAATTTAGAGTTTCTGGAAAGACCTTCATCACAATTTTGCTTTCTAGTGCACCCTCACTCTTCACCACAGCCTGAACTTCCACTTCGTGCAACTCCTTTGACATTTCTAGTGTATTATTTTCCAAAGCTTTCAGGTTAGTCTCCTTCACAACATTGGGCCACTCTGGAGGAAACCATGTTTTGGCACCACTTGATGGAACTATCCCATCAGCCATACAAACAAATCTAATGGTTTATTTTATTTTATTTTATAAGGGCCAGATAGTATTCTAAATCTAGTAAATATTCATTAAATGGATTCAGGATCAAACTCAAAACTAAATTTTAAATCCTATTTGGATTTAAGGAATAGTTATTTTGTAAAAGTTTTAAGAATGGATATATATATATATATTTTAATCATAAAAAACAGGTATGATTTTTGTTTTGTGAATTCTTGAAACTTGAGAAAATATAGAATATTTAGACTTGGTAAATTTTCTAAATAAAAAATAAATAAATTATTAGAATTTCTAATTTATGTAAATTGATACATAAACTGTTTTTCTGTATTTCCAGTTTTGGAAATTTTTGTATAAATTGGTTTTCTGATTTTCAGTTCTGGAATTGTTTTTAGAAACTATTTTTAACAGTTTTGATTGGTTTTCAGTGTTGGAAATTTTAATTTATTTGTGTCCATTCCTACGCTTGTTATAGAGCTGATAATTAATGTTTACAATTCTTTGCGATATGATGTCATTAATTGATATATTTGATATATCGATTTGGTATGTGTTGTATTATATATGGATGACGTAATGAAATATTACATGAGATAAAATATTTCATGGGTGAAAGACGCTTTGGTAATTGTCGACGTGGACAAATAAGATGTAAATGTAATTATACAATGATGTTTATATTCCATGTTGAGATTGGAATTAAAGGTTGTAGTGAGGAAAAGAAATAATGCATGGCTAAAGAAATGTTATTTAACAAAGTGTTATGGCCACAACCGGTATTAGCCATTTTTCCTTTGTACTGCAAAAGAAAGTTATAAAGTCTATTTGTATTTTAGACATATTAGTATTGTGATTATATTCACAAAGCAATTTACGTCTAGTTTAAGCATGCCAATTAAATATTCTGATTTACCTTAGAATTATAGGGGTGTATTAATATTTTTGTGTAATTTTACATCAGCAAAAAAAATTAAGTTTCCTTAGAATGCTTCAAATGTGGGGGTGCTTGGAGGATTTTACCAAAGCAACGGTTCCGATAATAGGTCCACAAAGAATCTCAATTCTTTCTATAGGACAAAGTTGCAGTAGAAGCAAAAATTGTTTCATTAACTCCTAAGGAACTACTCTATGTTTATTATTTAAATTTGAAAAATAGGAGTGACATAGAGTAACCAAAAGTCTCGATGTAATCAAAGACTTAATACCGTATGACATTTGCTTTTAGTTATGAATATTGTCTACGGATAATATAAGGGATTCACTAACTACTTAATGATATCTAACTGAGAAGGTCAAACAGGAAATAGTGGCCGCTAAACAAAAAGTTTGACCAGAGAGCAAATGAATGTGATGAAAGCCTATTACATCAAAGTCATCATAACAGTAACCCTACTTAGATGACTGGAGATCCCAAGAACTAAGTTCAAAGGGACAACTAAGTTATGTGTGGCTCGCCGAAAATCACTAAAGGAGTCTAAATCCTATAAATTCCTATGATGAGAGTGATATCTGCAACATGTGCTGTATGCAGGGAACTTAGGGTAAGCTATGCTTTTAATGATCACTTATATCTTGAAAACCCTAGATGAGAATCTTCCAAGAGGAGTATTTAAGAGACTCAAAATAAGGATCACCTATATGAGTGTGAAGGGGCCGTTTCTATGAGAATTGATAAGGCAAAATTTTCTAAAGCACTCATGAAACACCAGGACATGCCCAAGGCCAAAACAGGCACAACCATGAGAACTAAGTTGTGTTTGGAGATATTCTGTGTGAATTCTATTGTCTTGGCTTACACAAACTGCTAAACAGTTCAAGGCATCACGTCCACTGATTAACTAGTAATTGTTAGAAAAATAATACCAAACTATATGTAATATATAATTTAAGAATATGTAAACAGTTTTTGGGCAAAACCAAAACAAAAATAAATTGACAAAATAACGTAACAAAACTTATACCACATAAATAGATAAAACGTTATCAAGTCGAGTGTGTGATGCTCTTTTTTTAAGATAGATTCACCCACCCATCGGTGCTTAGGATTCAATGGACGTCTATATCTCAGGATACAACGATCAATGTCTTGCACTAGCAGCACTACTATTTCAAGCCTAGCGAACTTTGTTGTGCATGTACTCCCTTTATAGAAAAATTAGACTCAAGAAAATATGAAGAATAAATGAAAAGATGAAGAAGAAAATGACTAATTCTCTATTTAATTAAAGTGAGGGAGATGGAATTTATTGACTACTATGTGACTCTTCGGAAAGGTTGTGACCCTTCAAAAGGACATACCTTTCCAATTCAAAAGACACAACCATTAGAGTAAATTTTAATTCAAATTTTCCAACAAATGTGTCATGATCTTAGTCATCAGTTTTAGTGAAGAGGTATGAAATGAGACATTGCTTTAATTGTTTACAAATGCCTTACTTGCCAATTTAGCCTTAGTATGGGCTATCAGGAAGTTAAGGCACTACTTATTAGCTCACTCTGTAATTCTGGTTTTGAGATTAGATCCCATCAGGTATCTCTTCAAGAAATCGGTGCTTACAGGTAAGCTAGCTCATTGGTTGCTTCTCCTCTCTGAATTTGATCTCAAGTATGTCAGACGCAAATCTGTTAAAAGGAGAGCAGCAGCGAAATTCCTAGCAAACCACCCGATAGAAGAAGGTGAAGTAGCAAAGTATGTATTTCCAAATGAAGACATTCTACAGATAGAGTAAGAAACATGGACAATGTACTTTTACGGAGTGTCTAATCAATATGGTTATGGGATCAGTGCGTTGGTCATAGCCCTCAATGATTGCTACATACCATTTGCTGTCAAACTCTGATTCATAGTGTCCAACAACGAAGCAGAATATGAGGTGTGTATTGCTGGTTTGGAAGCTGACCTAGAACTAGGGGCAATAAGGTTGGATGTTATTGGGGATTCAAGTTTAGTTGTCTCTCAAGCTAACGGGGATTGAAACGTCAAGGAAGAGAACATGAAGATGTATCATTAGGCCCTAGATATTCTGATTCGTAGGTCTGAAAAATTGACATTTACACATTTGCTAAGAGAGAGCAGTCAGTTCGTTGATACATAAGCAACTCTATCTTCCATGGTAGACATCCCACTGGGAGTGAAGATGTGTCCAATCATCATTGAACAGAAGTATATGCTTGCTTATCAGACCATCGCAGCAATAGATAAGTAGCAAGACGAAAACCCCTGGTATTATGACATTTGGAATTTTATGGAAAAAGAGACGTATCCACTAGGGGCAAATGCCAAAGATAAACGGGGAATATGGCATGCAGCCGTCCAGTTCATAAGCTATACAAGAGAGGTCATCTGCGAATGCACAAGATGTGCGTTGAAGAAGAAGAATCAAAGTGTCTCATGAAGACCATCCATGGAGGTGAGTGTGGAGCACACATGGATGGTGTGATGCTGGCTCGAAAAACCATAGACAAAGCTACTATTGGTCCACTATGAAGGAGGA